CCAAGGAATTTTCCTGATCCAATGTCGAATGCACATTTCGAGGCATTGAGCTTCATTTTGTATTTCCAAAGAATATCATAGGTTGTGGCAAGATCGGCTAAGTGTGCACCCTTTTCTTTGGACTTCACCACCATATTATTAATGTAAACTTTCATGGTTCTGCCGATTTGATCTTTGAACATGGTAGTGACCAATCTCTGATATGTTACCCCGGTATTTTTCAATCCAAAAGGCATAACCTTGTAACAATAGGTTCCCCTTGGAGTGAGAAATGCCCTTTTGTCTTGGTTGGCCAGATCCATGGCAATTTGGTGATACCCTCTATAAGCATCTAAGAAGCTCATGCACTAATGTTGAGCGATTGCATCCACAAGTTGATCAATTCAAGATAAAGGAAAACAATCATTGGGGGTAGGTTTTGTTCAAATCTGCAAAGTCTATGCAGGCATGCCACGACCTCATCTTTTTATTTACCACGACAATATTAGATAACCACGTAGGATAGGTAACTTCCCAAATTGCCCCAGTTTCCAATAGCTTGTTAACTTTGTCAACTATGGTCGCAGCATGTTTGGCAGTTGAACAGCAGTTTCTCTAAACAAATGGCTTAGCTTTGGAGTCGACATTCAAGTTATGCATAATGATGGCGGGGTCTACCCCTGGCATGTCATAAGATGACCATGCAAAAGCATCGATGTTGTCAAGGAGGAAAGAAACCAGCTCTTGTCGCTCGGTGGCACTAAGACCTGTGCCAACCAAAACGAATTTCTCAAGGTCATCATTAATTATCACTTGGTCCTGATCTTCTGTTACTTTCTCAACTGAGCTCTTCCCAACATCCTCAAGACTTTCCTGATCTGAAAATTCAATTGAATTCACTTCTAGTTACTTTTGCTTCTTCACCAAGGCTGTGAGATAATAATGCTTTGCTGACTTCTGAGAACCACGGATTTGCTCGATGTCGTATTGAGTCGGATAACAAAGGAGATGATGGTAAGTACTCAGTATAGCCTGCATAGTGTGGAGCCATGTTCGGCCCATGATTATATTAGAAGGTGATGGAAGCTTGACACTAGGAATACAACCTCTAGCGTCTTGGTGCCTGCATGCACTGGTAATACGATCTTACTTAAAGGGTATTCCAGATTGACATTAAAGTCGAAAAGAGGGTAGTCGGCCAGCATGAGATCTGCATCCTTAAAGCCGAGCTTAAGAAACTTTTGTATTACATTATCTCAGAGGTGCTTCCTTGGTCGATCAGGATATATCCAACGGTGAACATATTTACTCATAACTCGATCATGAGAGCGTCATCATGAGGCATCGTGACCCGTTCGAGATCAGCGTCGGAGAAGCTAATTTTGTTTGACAACCATAGTCATTTGGCTGATATACAGGGCTTAGAGCTGGGTTAGGAGGATTGTTGCAACTGGATTGTATTTACCCTGTTTGGTGGGGGTAAAGCTGTATATCATGTGAATTATGGCGAGTGGAGGTGAATCGGGGCGTATGACAACCACACCTGGTGGGTCAACCTCTTTTTGGGAGGTATTCAGTTAGTCAGCCACCCTGGACCAAGTCTTCTAAACGATCTTTCAAAGCGTAGCACTTCTCAGTCACGTGCCCATGGTCTTTGTGATACTCATATCTCAGGTCTCTCCGTCTCATGTCAAGGGGCCCAAACATCTTAGTTGGCTATTTAAAGAAAGCCAGATGTTGGATTTATGACAAAATCTTACTAATATGCTCAGACAGTTCCGTGTATTTCTTATCTGACCATCTAGAGCACCTATTTTTGACCTGATATTGTTCGTTCTATCGACACTAATCTTGGCGATTCTTCCTTCATGATAGGCCTCTTGGCTCTGGGCTCCTCCGTGGTGGGGTTTCATTTGGTGGTGCAGCAGTCAGTAGCTGTACCAAAATAGGTGCTGTCGATTCCGTAGCTTACAGTCCGACTTTAACTCGATTTGCATCATCTTTCACTTTGCAATACTCTTCGACCCTCTTCATTAGGGCCCAAACTGTCTTGGAGAGCCTTCGAGTCAACGAACTCCTAAGCGAGCTATCAGGATCCAATCCCATCTTGAATGCAATGATTGCCATAGAGTCGTTGCAATCTACATCCACCAAATTAAAGCACTCCCAATAATGTGCCAAGTACTCGCACAAAATCTCATTCGGCTTGATTTTCATTGCCCACAAAGAGTCTACTTGTTTCGGTTGAGTCTTATTGTTAATGAATCTAGCCCTGAAGGACTTTTGGAGTTGATGGAAACTCAGTTGAAGCCAGTTCAAGCTTGTAATACCATCTAACGGCGAGCGGTCCCAAACTGTTGGGGAATATTCGACACATGAATGCCTCGTCGTCTGCATGCAGTGTCATTGCTTGCTTGTAATGACGAACGTGATCCGTGGGGCCCGACTTTCCATCATATAGAGTGAACGACGGTGCTTTAAAATTCTTAGACAAAACGGCCTTGGCTATACGTCGTATGAAAGGATCATGCTTATCTTCTAAGTCTAAGTCATCGTCTCTCTTTTTACATCCACGTCGCACTTGTGGAGGACTTCCATTATCTAACTAGCTGGACAAGTCTACTCAGCCTCACTTTCTAGGTTCTTCCCAATAGGAATCTGATGTACTACTACTATCATCATGTCTCTGGGATTGATTTCGCTGATAGGCTTTCCTTCTTGGACATTGACCCCGTTCATGCCGTGGTCCAATCTGTTGGGATTTTGCCAGTTCTTGGCGTGGTGCTCATTGTTAGCTGCCATATCCTCCAAACGCTGCTCATTCCGCTTTGCTTGGTTTATCAAGGTTTGCATGGCGTCTTCTACTGATGTTGAAGGCAAAGAAGGAGTTGTCAAGTCAAAGTTCAAAGACCTTTGTGCGGGAGTATCTTTCGGACCGAATATCGTTCCTAGTAGAACATTTTTGTCTCCAATGATCGAAGGATCTTGAGCTAGGCCTGCCATGGATGAGTTTGAGTATTCTCACAGACCGCGCCAATTGTGAGGATATGGTTTTGGAATACTCCTTTAATCCAAACAAGCCCTCAAGAGATCCTTGAGATGTCACCTGAAATAGAAGAACTCTTGCCGGTGGTGCTAGAATTAACACTCCAATGAGCAAGTTAGCTTCTATAGAAAGATTAGCTGCTTTTGGTTTCTTAAGGTACAAGTTTTTAGAACATATATCCTCCTTCAGCCTCCTTTTTCCTTTTATAGAGTCATTCTCCTTGATATTTTCTCTATGTAGTTTAGCCCTTCATCATCACTCTGTCAAGACCCATCTCCCTACTATACTTTTTAGAAAGGGATAGCCTGGTCCCACTTAATGGGACAATGCCGACTTACCTGATATACTCGGCTCCGACGTACGGCACAAGTACCCTTAACTCAGCGTTCTCCTCATTTTGTATTTCATGTCTATTCGACAATGACTTTCAGCCCAGTAGGCTTTGGCTTCATTCAATCCATCTCAGATGGGCTTGGATGTACTCTATTTACCGTTTTAGGTATATCTTTTTTCGACTCCCACAATATTATCATGAGTTACTCTTATTGTTGTATTTAAAATAAAATTCAAAGATTTATTACAAAAAGTTGTTTTCACTTTAATTAACTTAACAATCTAGCCTTTCTTTGGTTTAATTTTATTTTTAAGTTTGATACAAAATTCAAAGATTTAATACAAAAAGTAGTTTTCACATCGATTAACTTAATAATCTGGCCTTTCTTTGGTTTAATCTCACTTTTAAGTCGAGGTGAGGAATTTGAGAAGTGACACTATCGTAGATGTTTTCTATATCATGAAAAAGTGTTAAGAACAATTATAAATGTCTACCTTTAGTAAATAGAAACATATAACAATGAATGTTTTTTCTTTCATAAGCTAACACAGACAATAGAATATTTTCAATTACATGTTCAAACTTTTACACTCAAATATGTTTATAAAGAATATATTATTAAATTTTTGTTATGGTAGAAATTGATATGGTATAAAAAAATAAAAAATAAAAAAAATTAGGAAATTCTTTCTTTTATAAATAGATATTTAGCGCCATTCGAACGGTCAATGCAAGGAAGGTTCTATACTCTCTCTCTCTCTCTATATATATATATATATATTTTTGCCCCTTAAGAATAAAATTCCTGGATCTGTCAGCAGAGGGGTGTTTGTTTTGTTTGGTGCTTTTTTTATTTATTTATTTATTTATTTTACTTGGTTTCTCACTAACATGTTGTATATTAGCAAATGATTGGACTTACTATACAATACTAACTTAATTGAGATCATTTTACTTTATTATAATACTTATACATTTAACTTCTTTATTGATATAACTTTCTTATTATTTTTATAAATAAAATATTTTTTAGCGTAAAAATATATATATATATATAGAGAGAGAGAGAGAGTATAGAACCTTCCTTGCATTGACCGTTCGAATGGCGCTAAATATCTATTTATAAAAGAAAGAATTTCCAGTTTTAAAGAAAGAAAAGTGCTTTACGTAGGCTGCCCACGTATGAAGCAGCACTTGGACTTGAAGAGTCGGGTCTTGTCTTTCAATATATTTGTGTGGTGTAGAATTTCGTTTTGGAGGGGATAATTTTATTTTATTTCATATTTGGTGTGCTGCTAAATGGCTAATTTTCATTAGGTTGGCTTAGCCCCGTTTGATAAGATGATTGAAATTAATTTAGTCATTATTTAGTATAAATTAAATAAGTGTGCTTATTTAGGTCACATTATTTTCTTATTTTTTTGCACATCATTTCAATTTTTTTACATATTTTTTCATAAAAAATCAAAAAATATACTTATTTAGATAATCTCTTAGTTCACTAAATAAGATTAAAAAGTCAATAAAATAAAATATCGCATTCAAATCACAATTATTTTATTTTTTCTCTTACAAAAATTATAAAAAAAAAGGTCAAAAGTTCATCAAAAAAAAAAAAAATTAATCAGATTAAAACAATCAAAAATTTTAAAAAAATAAAATTAGAAGGCTTAAAAAATAATCAGACTTGAAGGTGAAACTAGGAGCATAAATAAGATGACAGTGAGCGAATCTCTAAACAGATTAAAAACAGATAAATAAAATCGAGGTAGCATTAGCAATAGCAATAATACATTCGAGTATAGGAGGAGTTTAAAAAAAAATAAAAATGAATGCAATCTCCGGCAACTACACAAGGTTCTTTACTGGTGATTTCAATCCCGCATCGTATGGAACTCATCGTAAGTTGACAATGCTATAATTTTCCATTCATTCCTAACCACTTTTAATTAAGTCTCATTTTTGTGTACGTGTGTTTTAACTTGAAAAAATCAAAAAGCCGATTTTAGCCAATACGGGCCACTGCACCGAGCGATACTGGAAGGTGATTGGGAGAGCACGGAAAGCTTTTACAGGTCACATCCAGAAGCAGTGACAAATAGCATCACAGAAAGCTCCGATACAGCGCTGATGGTAGGGATTATGTCGGGGCAGAAAATAGAATTCATAACGAATCAAGTGGAGTTTGGAAGGGTGGATTTGAGAAGAGTGAACAAAGAGGGGAATACCGCACTTCATGAAGCTGCAATTGTTGGTCATTTAAAGGCTGCTGAGTTACTAGTGGGAAGAAACAGAAGCTTGCTATACATTCGTAATTTGGATGGGTATGTACCACTTCACTTGGCCGCTGCCTATGGTCAGAGGGAGATTCTGTTTTATTTTCTGAGAGTAGGTGAGGTGCACAACATACAGCTATCGGAATCGGAGTTGGATATGCTTATGCATCTTGAAATAACTGCCAGGTTCTTCGGTAAGTTCTACTACTACCACTACTTTCTTTTCTTTTCTTTTTTTGGTGATCGGCAAATGTTAATTGTTAGCACTTATGAGAGAAAATCTCTCCACCCTTGACAAAGTACCTAAGTGCTTACACTCCCTTAATTTAACCTTTTAATGAAAATTGAACCCATGACGTCATTGGGACTAAGCCTTAAGGAAGGCACGGTGGCCAACTAGGCTAAGCCTAGTTGGTACTACTACCACTACTATTGTTATGACATACACCTATATTATGTCATACACCTAAATTTTCAAATTTTCTTGGCGTTCACAAATCGCTAGTGTATATATATATATTAGCATACGTCGTTATGCACAGGCTAAACAAATAACTTAAAATTAATTTCAAAATTAACAGTAAATTACAAATACACCTCCTGAATTTTGTTTAATACGAATTGTCTATTGTAATTTGAAAAATTATAAATATCTCAATTCCTAACTAGTCTCTTATACAATAATAAAACTATTTGAATTATTAATTGAAATATATTTTTAATATCATTAAAAATTGTTAATTGATATGATATTTTTTAATAAAATGAGTAATTTGTTATGAAATTTTAAACTTCCAAAGGCGAGAAGTAATTTTCGAATTTGAGATTTTCAGTGATATATTTTGAATGATAAACATTTGGAGAGAAGATTAACTTAAAATCAATTAACTTAATAAGGATTTTAAGAACAAATTTTGTGAAATAGTAATGTATGGAGGATCAATCAATTAACCAAAATAAATTGAACAATGATTTAAAAGCAAATGTGTGAATATAAGTTATGATACATTTATACATATGAACATATATTTAACATCACATACGTATATTATTATTTACAAATACATTAACATACATATGTTTGGACATGTAGATACACAAGGCTAAAGATCCAAAGAGAAAATATAAAAGGAAGAGATATTCAAACATTCTTTTAAATATAAATATTTATATCAATCCCCAATAATAAAAAGAAACAAATATATGAATAAGTGTAAAATTAACCTGTTCTAAAATACATATTGCATTAGATTGCTGGATTGTGTAAGATTTTGCCTTCTTCTAAAATGCTCCTCCTGTTGAATCGTATTTATATTTTGCCTTAAATTCAACTAATAAATTTGCATTGAAATATTAAAGCTTTTAAAAGATTAGTATGTATATATCTCAATGCTAAAAATTTTCCATACTTAATTTTCATTACATGATATAATTAATATGCTTAAATATTGTTTTTAATTGTAAAATCTAATATATTTTTGAAATAATATAACTGTACGTAAAATAAAAGTTGAAAATAGTAGCTACATGACCTTCAAGTCATTTATAATATAACATGAATTAAAAAAAAAAATCTAAAATAAACATAAATCAAGCTAAAATTTATATTTTTAAGTTCCGATGTATGTATGTGCTAAATACTAGGGTTTTATATTGTTAATAACAAAAATCGAAACGTTTAGGTTATGGCAATACTTAGGATTGGAGTTCTAGAGAGACGGAGAGCCATTTCAATATTAGCCTTCAATTATAAATTAGGTGCATCTAAAAATTTTAAAAATAAATAAATAAATAATTGTATTTCAGTTTGAAAACCAAACAAGAAGGTTTTTTTTTTTTTTTCAGTCAATATGAATATTTACAATATAGAGAAGCCCAATCAAACTAAGAAATGATTATTTTATTTATTTATATTTTTTTTAATTAGTAGAAGTATACAATATAGAAAAGTCTAACCGACCTAAGAAAGAGTTTCACAATGAAAAAGAAGTAAATAACATACCAAAGCCCCATAATAAGAGAGAAATTATCAATCTTTGTAATTTAGTACTTACGATCCTAGTCTTCCAAGGGGAAGTGTGTAGGAGTGGCCCACTGAGCTAGCCTAAATTGATTCACGAAACTCAATATTGAAGTATAAAACTTAATCCACATAAATTGGTAAGTATAAAACTTAATCAAAATAAATTGGTGATGTGGGCTTGCTTATGAGATAGAGATATATACTAGTTTAATTGCCTGTTCTCATTACATGGTCGATTATTCAAAAAGATAAAATAATAATTGTCTTCCAAATCTAATAATAGATATTTCAAGTTAAGTGTTTACATGTAATCATCATTTTGTTGATTTATGCCATTAATGTTTCAGATTTGGCTATGTATTTACTTGCAAGCAACCCTAGATTAGCATTCTCCAAGTGGCAAGATGTCTTTCATTTGGAAATACTAGCCCAAATGCCATCTGCTTTTCCTAGCGGAACAAAATTAAACATCTTGAAGCGTTTTATCTATTATTGTAAGTCTCTTGGCTATTTTCCTTTCTCTCAATACTGATTTTTATGCTGTCTTTTACACATTTATTAGTTTACTTATCTTCACATAGAAAAACAAAAACAAAATCTATTTAACTCTTGTGCAGTTCAAGAGTAATGTTCCACTTACTAAATTTTATATCATATTATATTTATTATTTCATCTGTTAGCACCTCATTAGAGATAAACATGTATGAGTGATAAGAGCTATTATACTAATAATGTGGTAAAAAAGAGATGATAAATGTAAGGGCAAATTATACGTGTGGTCCTTACGTTTTATACCTTATGTCATTTTAATTTCTATATTTTTAATTGGCTCAATTTTGATCATTAATGTTAGATTTTGTGTCAATTTGGTCCAATTGATAATGTCATTAGTATATTTGATGAAAAATAATCACTGAATTGATTAACACACTAAGTTAAGTTAAAATTTTACTCTTAAAAATATGACACGTGCCACTTATATGTGTATTTTTTATAAATAAAAAAAATTATAAGAGTTATTGTTAATTGGATCAAATTTAGATAGAGTTATAAATTCAAAATTAAAATTAAATTAATTAAATTACCGGAACTAAAATGATATAAGAGTTAAAATATAAAGACATAATTTACCCAATGTAATATGGTAAAAAAAAAATGTGGCTAGGCTCGTGGGGGCCTATCGCTGGATGCTAATATCCATAATGTGATCATTTTGGAGTATTGGCTGTCACGAGGTCAATCGGTGCTACTCATGGTGAATATTTGGACCGTTGGACCACATGATATATTTGTCTTGGAAGGTTTACAAGCTCCACCAAATGTCATTGGAAGGACTCTGGTTACCATTGGAAAAACACCCTTTGGCTCTATGACGTGGCATTTTTGGGGGCAATATGATAAATTTAATAAAATTAATAGTCATTCATCATGCTAAAATTTGGCAAGCTACTTCTATCATTTCAAATTTGGCACAATTGATAGCACTACTGGAGCATTTTGTACTTATCATGCGAAATTTTAACAACAGCATGATGGATAACATCTGCAATTGATTAAAGAATGTGAAGTAATTATAGAATATTAAAATATACATAATGTATTTATCTGATAAATATTTTAAAATATATTTAGGCATGGTTTGGAAAGAAAAAGGTCACGCTTTTTTTGTTAAAATAGTCACAAAAAATAAAATAGACTTTTTAGTCCAATAAGACAAAATATTACATCCAACTCATAATCATTATATTCTTTTAATCACAAAAAAAAACTAAAAAAGTCAAAAATCATTCTCAAACCAAACTTTTTAGCCCTAGACTAAGATAGTCAAAAAAAGCTAAAAAAACCAAAAAGCCGACCCACTTCCCAAACCATACCTTAGAGTATACAAGTTGCATTTCAAAGAATACAAAATATTATTATTATGAAGATAATCATCGAATAAGTTGTGTTCAGAAGATTCAAGATATGTTTTTAAAATGCCCACGAGATGTTAAAAATTGTCCGATATTATGAATTCAAAATTTTAATTAAAAAAGTGTGTGGCACGATTTTAAGAGTATCCACAAAATGTGTGTGTCCATCACGAAATGCCTCAAGTCCATGTAAGTGTCCGTTCTTCTTGAGGCAAAGAGCTATGTCAACAAACCATCCACTGGAGATTTTTTTTTTTTTTGGTAACAAAAAGAGGAAAAATCAAAGGGGAAAAAAAGAAGTAAAAATAACCTCTAGATTGTGATATAATCCCATGCTAAATTACCCACAATCATATTACTCTTAATTTAATGAAATGGCGTATCTGTTTATTTTGATAAAGCAAATAAATCTTAGAATAAATTATATTATTAGTTCATGTAGTCTAACAGAAGTATGACTTTAGTCATTATAGTTTTAGTCTTTATGATTTGAATCTCATATTTTTAGTTTCATTGCAATGTCATATATCTATCATATGCAGTTGACATTTTGAACGGAAAAAAAAAATAAATAAATAAAATAAAATAAAATAAAACTATATGCCAAACTAGAGGGGTCAAAGTTAAATTCAAAACAAACTATAGGGACCACTAGCATAATTTATTCATTACACCAGTGACCTTTATAATTTCTTTTGAATTTCAGTTTGGTCTCTCTAGTTTTGTATGTGCTCTTTTTCCGTTCAAAATTCTAACAGTAACTAACGGAAGAATTATATTGTAACAAAATTAAAAGTATAAGGTTCAAATTGAAATTACGAGGAGCAAAGTGAAATTTCACTCAAACTAGAGAGATTAATAATGTAATTTATTCAAACTAAAGAGATTAATAGTGTAATTTACCTAAATTTCTACATGCAAAGTGGTGTTCACATGTGGAATCATATATTTTTCAGTTGTTCCGGTTCAAAAGGGTCCTTTTGTCTTCAAACGTTCACCGAATGCTAGCGAGGACACGGAGAAGCCAATTCAAAGTTCACAAATTCGACTTTTTAGAAAAGACTACTTATCTGGTTTGTCAGAATTTCTTATCTTCTTCTCTGCTTTTACTTATCAGTCTTGCAAGTATATATAAAGCTCTACTCACTAACTTGATTCAGTGAAATATAATAGTTAATCAACCTGGTTCTCAAACTACATAATAAAAAAAACTAAACACCTTCAGTTTTAATTTTGAATAAAAATTTTAGCCTTTTAAAGCATGTGTTTTTCTATCATTTTAATCTTTTAAGTTTGAATTTTATCATTTTAGTTCTCAAAATTGTTAATTTTAGTCATGTCTCTAACGTCTGTTGACATTAATAACAGGAAAAATATGTAATCCTTGGATAAAAGATAATTTTGATCCTTAAAATATGAATTTCTTGTCATTTTAGGTTCTGAAGTTCTAAATTTTTTCATTTTAATTCTCAACGTTGTCAATTTGAGTTAGAATCAAATTGACTCAAATTGATAATTTTGAGACCTAAATGACAATTTGAAATTTGAGAGACTAAAATGATAAGAAACGCATATTGTAGGGATCAAAATTATCTTTTATCTATGTTTTTGTTACCAATGTAGACGAACGTTAGACTTAAAACCAAATTGACTTAAATTGACAATTTCGAGGGCAAAAATTAAAAATTAAAAATAAAACTTAAGAGACTAAAATAAAAAACAACACATACTTTAGGAACTAAAATTGTTTCCTATCCTTTAGTTTTTTAGGTTTGTCAATTTGGTGCCTAAAGTGTAAAATGTGATTTTAAATGATCCCCCACAATTTACTCTGTCCACTTTAATTAACTGGAGCTAGAATATTTTCAAAATTTCGCATAAAACCTCAACAAAATTAAAAATGACTAAAAACATACATGATTCTCAATATATACTTGATTGTATTTTGCTCCCTAACCAAAACGATTATAAACACAAGCATAGTGTGCGCTCTATTAAATTTTCCCCTTTGATTTTCAATCTTTTAATTTGGGGTAAATTATATAAATAGTCCCTATAGTTTACACGATGTGTCAATTTGATCCCTATAATTTCAATTTACTCGATTTTGTCCCTTAATTTAACGGATTATGTCATATTAGTCCAATAAATAACGGTTGTTAAGTTAATTTAACAGAAGGTTAAACAATATGTCAATTTGGTCTCTATACTTTACACGATGTATCAATTTGGTCCCTGTAAGTTCAATTTTCTCGATTTTGTCAGGGACTAAATTGACACATTGTGGAAAATACAGAGACCAAATTGACACATTGTTTGACTTTCCATTAAATTAACTTAATAACCGTTATTTATTAGACTGAAATGACACAATCAGTTAAATTAAGGGGAAAAATCGAGTAAATTGAAACTATAGGGACCAAATTGACACATCGTGTAAATTACAATGACTATTTGCATAATTTTCCCTTTAATTTGGTTAGATTTTTTTTAAGGTAAACTATATTGATAATCCCTATGTACGAGCACAAAATAATTGTCGCTTGTATAATCTTGTTGATCAAACTTGCGTTCCTTCAAACGTCATCGTAAGACCTGAAATCACAAACGTCAACTAGCCGGCTGTTGTATATCAGAAACCCCTCCAATGCTTAAGTCAGTAAATAGACTAAGAATGAGACAAAAGCTTTGTAAATTTGGGAATAATAATTGCAATACCTGGAATTAGGGTTTGGTTTGAACTTTTGTAAGTTTTGCATGGCACAATCCTAGTAGAATTCTAACTCTCCTTTGTAGAGTCCTCACAGGAATCACATTCTTAAAGGATAATGTTCATCCTTCAACACCCTCCTCACCGCAAACTAATTGAGATGGCACAACTCTTTACACGGCTTCAAGCCGAGCAGCCGAATAACCTTGCCCTGTCCACCTCTGATTTAACCGTGTAACACGCAGCGCCGTGCAAGCCTAGCACGACGCACCACCATGCTTGACATTGCATGGCCTTTCTCCTAGCCCAGTCAAAGCTTTACTACCAATTACATTTGACCATCTTCCCATATAGCTCAGTCAAACCTTTGACTGCCATTAGAAAGTAGCTCGGTCTAAGAACATTAGCGTTTACCTATCCGGTCGAACTTCTTTGACCGATTTGACCTTCGTGCAGCCCAAACCAAGCTATATCTGAAGCATAGCTCAGTTCACTAATGCGGCCCAAGTCTTAAGCCCACTCCCACCTAGCTCGGCCCAATTTGTGCTACACAAATTACCCTCTCACCTTATATTTTGTCTCATGTGTCATTTTGTTCCTTATACTTTCAATTTGATTAATTTTGACTAGTAATTTTAAATTTTGTCAATTTAGTCTAATTGATAATATTGTTAGAATTTTTGACATAAAACAATCATTGAATTAGTTCATGTTAACTCATCAAGTTAAGCAACTTTACAATTTTGTGTTTAAAAGTTTGACACATGCCACTGTTGAGTGGATTTTTCATTAGAAAAAAAAAAACATGTTAACAATTGTAATCAATTAGTTCAAATTAAGACAGAGTTATTAATTCAAAGTCAAAGTTGAATTAATTGAAACTATAAGAACCAAAATGATACAAAAATCAAAATATAAGAATTACTAGTATAATTTGTCCCTTTTTTAATAAAGTCTAAATAATACCTCACTTCCCATTTAACTATTTTAGATAGCGTGAGTGGCAAGGACATTTA